AATTTTTTTTTTTTTTTTTTTGGTGGTACCAAGGATCGAACTCAGGACCTGAGCTTGCAAGGCAGGTGTGGTGCCACTGAGGTAAATCCCTGGCCCTGGATATTTTTTGGGAAATATCTATTTTGGTCCTTATCCCGTTTTTCAATGGCCCTAAAGAACATTATGCTAAATGAAATAAGGCAGACAGAGACAGACAAACGCTAAATGATCTCCCTTATATATAGAACTGTAAAAAGCTGAAGTCATAGGAGAGGAGGAGAGTAGAATGGTGGTTGCCAGGGATTAGGAGTGTGGAGAAAATGGGGAGATGTTTGGTGAAGGAATATAATGTTCAGTTATGATAGATGACTAGTCACTATTGGGCCGGGGATTTAGCTCAGTGGTGCTTTCGCCTGCCTCGCAAATGGAAGGTCCCAAGTTCAATCCCCGGTACCAAAAAAAAAAAAAATCAACAAAAAAAGATGACTAAGTTCTGGAGACCTAGTGAACATCATGGAGATGACAGGTAACAATCCTGTATTGCATATTTGCTAAGAGCTTTGATCTTCAGTGTTCTCTCTCTCACACACACACAAGTGGTAATTATGTGAGGTGGACAGGTCAATTAGTTTGATCGTGGGAATCATCTCACAGTGCACACATATATCAACACATGCAGATATTAAATTTATACAATTATCCAGGTGCGGTGGCAAAGGCTAATTCTGGTACTCGACAGGCCACGGCAGGAGGTTAGCAAGTTCAAGACCAACCTGAACTACAAAGTGAGACCTTGTCTTTAAAATAAAATAAAATAAATTTATACAATTTTTATTAGTAAAGCATATCTCAATAAATTGGGAAAAGAAAATTTAAATTCTATTTCAGTTCTAAGTGACAGCTAGGAGTTCTGAAGAATCTTGGAAACTTTCCCAGTGAGATCACTTTCTCCAGACAGCCACCACCCTTCAAATACAGTGTTTGCTAAGAATCATTTCAACAATGACTATCTCTGTAATATGTTTCAATGTGAACTAGATATCAATTCTCCCTTGTTATTCATCTTGGGTCAAAATAATTTAGTTACTTTTATATTTATTTCACAGTATAAACCTTAAAGTGAGCTTGACTAGTTAAAAAATCATAATTGTGCCAGGGATGGTGGCACATGCCTATAACCCAGCACTCAGGAGACTGAGGCAGGAGAAGTGCCATGAGTTCAAGGCCAGCTTGGATTACATAGTGGGACCCTGTCTCAGAAAAAAACAAAACAAAATCATAATTGTATTTTTAGTGATATGGTTACCAAATATGCAGAGTATTTTAAGGAAAAAAATTTTGAGACAAGGTCTCACTATGTAGTTCAGACTGGGCTTGAACTCACTATGTAGCCCAGGTTGGTCTCGAACTTGCAGTGATCCTCCCGTCCAGCCTCCTAAGTGCTTAGATTACAGGCGAGCACCAGCATGGCTGGCTCAGTCTTCTGGATCTTTTTAAAGAATCTTTACTTGACACACATAGCAATAGTCCATATTTAAAGAATTAATTGTGAAATTTCAATACACATATATAATGAGTAATGATTAGATCAGGGTAATCTTGATCTATTACCTCACACATTAATCATTTTTGATAGATGTTTGTCCTTATGTTGAAAACATTTAAAATCTTCTCTATGAGCTCTTTTGAAGTATTCAGTTAATTGTTGCGAATCAGAGTCATGCTGCTGTGCTGTAGAATATTCAGTTACTTCTCCTCCTATCCAACTACACCCCTGTACCTGTTAACCACCCTGTCTTCATCCCCCACCGCCCCACAACCTCCTGGGCCCTGGTAGCCACTATTTTATTTATTCCCCACTTCTTTAAGAACTTGTACTCTTTCACAAACAAGTCAAAGCACATGGTATTTGTCTTTCTGTGATGATTTATTTGACTTAACATACTATCCCTTGTATTCTGGCAAGGATTTTTTCTTTTATATTTAATTCTCTCTGGAATTCATTTAGTGTACATGTGATTCTGGCAGTTAAATGGACTTTTTTGGGCCCAAATGACCAATGCAGTTATTGAATAAGTGATTACTTTCATTTTTATTGTGAGCATTCTTTTTTCATAGTTTTTATAAAATTAAGTTTCATCTGGGGGTGGGAGTAACATATGCCTACAATCTCATCATTCTAAGAGGCTGAGGCAGTAGGATTTCAAGTTTGAGCCCAGCCTGGGTAGGTTAGTAATAAAGTGAGATATTGTCTCAAAGGAGAAATAAAAGGGCCTCAGTGTGAAGGTCCTGAGCTTAATCCCTAGTACTGCACAGAATAAAACAAACAAAAACTAAGATTCATATCCTTCCGGGGTGATCTTTTCCTACTAAGAAATACATTTTTGGGGGGATGGTTGAGCCAGAGGCTCATTATGTAGTTCAGGCTGGCCTTGAACTTGTGGCGATCCTCCTGCCTTGGCCTCCCAAGTGCTGGGATTACAGATGTGTGCCACCATGCCTGGCTCTGTCTTTTTATTAATTGTAGGCTCCTTATAAACAATCATATAAGCCAGGTATGATGGCCCATGTGTGTGTGTGTATATATATATATTTTTTTTTTAAATAACTTATTGGAGTAAAAACTCACATAATGCAAAATTAGACATTTTACTGTAGATATTTCAGTGGCATTTAGTATGTGCACATTATCATGCAACCACCTCCATCTAATTCCAAAATGTTTCCGAACTATAATTTTTTCAGCTAACTTCTTGTGAGTGGTCATGTGATCCTTTGAGAACCATATTAATACCTTCTGAAGACAGGCCCTCGGTACCTTAGCCACCTCCCAATTGGTTCCACAGCTTAAAAGTTCCAACACCTTAACACGGGAGAGTACAGCTGCAGCCTTTTTAAATAAAATTTTTCTTTGAAGACATAATACAGAAAACTTAATAGCTTTTTACTAAACACACTCATTTAACCATAGGCCAGATCAAAAAATAGAACATCATCCATCTGGGTGCATCTATGCACACCTGTAACCCCAGCCCTTGGGAAGCTGAGGCAGGAGGATCAAGGCCACCCTGAGATACATAGTGAGTTCAAGGCCAGTCAGGACTAATTATGAGGCCCTGTCTTAAACAAAACAAAACAAACAAACAAACACTACTACACCTAGACGTATTAAATGTAATTTCTCCTTCCAGTCTCTATCTCCTGAAAGGTAGTCACCATTCTGACTTTTATCCCTGCAGGTTAACTTCCCTCATTTTGGACCTTCAGGTGAATGGGATGATTCAATGTGTACTGTTTTGTTTCTGTTTTTTTTCATTTGAGATTGGGTTTGTGACATGATCCATGTTGTGTACAGCAGTAGTTTGTGTTTTTACTTGCTGCAGTGTAGTTCATTGTATTGGGTGGGGGGTTGACTCAGTGATTCTGCTGCCTGCCTTGCAAGCACAAGGGCCCGAGTTCAATCCCTGGTACACCCCCCAAAAGTTTATTATATGACTATAATACAATTGATTTGGACTTTGGACTTTTGATGGAGATTTTGGTTGTTTCTAGTTTCTAGCTATAAGAAACAACACTGTATGAACTATTTCCATACAGTAGTCCCCCTATATGCGGTTTCACTTTCCAGTTTAGTTACTCGCTGTCAATTGAGGTCTGAAAATATTAAATAGAAAATTCCAGAAATAATTCACAAGCAGCACAATTCAGTTGCAGAGCTGTGCGGCTGAGCGCTGAATCAGGGGGACACCTTTGCAACTGGAAGCCATTCAATTCCTTCACCAATGAACTTGTAACATCTCTAATAATGGCCAGTATCTCAGATTATGAAGCGCCTGCTTTCTGTCGAACTTTTAAGGTAAAGGCGAAGACTCAAGAGCTAAGTCCTAGACCGTGCTTAAATTTTTATTGGTGATTATTCTGCATCTACATAATTACAATATTAAAGCTTTTAGCTATAGCAACACACTTTTTCATTTTCTAAGATACATTTCGTTGCTTTTTTTTTTTAATCCTTCAACAAACAAGAGAATACAAAACAAAAGCAAAGAACACAGTATTTTCCTACTCTAGTGCTCTCAGACTAAACAGGCAGGCACAAGGTGTGCTCAGAGCGGCCTCTGGCGTCCCCTTCCTCTTCTAGCTTGGTCTGAAATCTTCACTTCTTAGAAACATCCCTTTCTTGACAGCACAACAGCCAGAAGTTTAGAAGTTCGGTGAGTTGGTCCCCGGGGCTGCACACACAGCATCCGTGTTGACCGAGGTTTTTGCGGTCTGTGTGGGGCTCCGAGATTGGAAGGCGACCCAGCGGAGAAGAGTCTCGCCCCGCTCTCTCCTCTGGCCGCAAGGCGCCGGTTGCAGTGCCTTTTTTAGGCTCTGGCTTTGGTCTGAGCTGTTGACGCTGAGGCACCCAGGAGCGGGGAACAAGAAAGTGACTCTCCCAAGATCCTTGGGCAGCAGAGGCTGTTGGTGCCCCAGTGCTTGGCCCAGACAGGGCTCTTAACCACTGACCCGCACTGCCTTTCAGATGCCCCTGGGTTCTCACTATCCCTGTTTGCCCTACACTTCCTCGGGGTTCCTAAACCACCCAGCCCGTGAACGCTTGAGACCTCACCATTGAAGCCAATCACAGCATCAAGTTGCAGGTCGGCCACCTCTTCAGCCTCGGGAGAGATTTTCTCACCCATCGCCGGCTCACAAATTCTTTCAGCACCAGCTTGTGTAGCGTCTCTTGGTCGTTATGGTTACGGTCGTGCACATGCGCACCAGGTCCACACTCGCTCTTTGGAGGGCTGGGGTTGATTTGTCCTCTTGCAAATGTGGGGAGGGCGTCTTTTTTCCATTTTCTGGAAATTTAGGGGGCGGGTGGTAGGGTGGGTACTAAATGCACAGAACAAATTCCTCCCTATTTCGTGTAGTTTGTGACCTTTTGGTAACTATATAATGAAGTATCTCCTGGCATTTAAAAAATGAGTAGAAATTGCCTCTGATGAGTGAGCCCTTCGCTGTAAGTAGGGTAAAAAAAAAAAAAAAATTAAAGATTTTAAAAAAGCTTTACTAAGCATATCTTACTTATCACAGTATTCATTTAGTATTTAACTATCACCACAACCCAACTTCGTTTTGTTTGTGAAGCAGGAAAAACATTTTTTTTTTCAGGATAAAAATTTTAAGGAACTGCTAGAGAGAGTAGTCTTGAAGGTCTCTCATAGTGCTAATATCTTCTTGGGAAAACGCTTAGACTCTGTTCAATAACAATTGATTTTAATTTCACCAAGCAATTCGCATCTCCTAGTAAGAACAAATTGATGCAACCTCCCTTCTGCGCAGGGAACCTCTGAACGCGTTTTTTGTTATTACAGCTTTGAGGCCTTAGTGTAAATATTCACTTTGCAAACTTCAGTAGCGTACCGGCTGAACCGCGGGGAAGGAGCCACGCGGGCCGCCGTAGTCAGCTGCCGGGAGCAGGAAGTGTCCGAGCAGCGGGCGGAGACTGCACGATGGCCCCAGACCCCTGGTAAGCCCCGGGTTAGGGCGGCAGTATGCTGGGGAACCTGAGGGCAAGCCGGACTTCCAGAGAGCCTGCTGTTGCGTTTTTCTCAGAGTGAAGGCCTTTCGGGATGGGGAAAGGGGCGGCAAGGATCCTGGGGACCCCTGCTGAGGGGTCTGAGCCACAGCCCACCACTCTTGGTCCTTAAGTGGGTGACCCAGGAATGGGACCAGGAGGACTCCTGGGGACTTGGGGGCCGGACCCGAATCTCTGAATATTCCTCCGGCTCTTTTGAGATGCATCTCGCCTCGGGGATTTCCCGCTCGTTCTGGTTGTGGGCTGCCTGGTGCAGACTTCTCTGGACTGCTGTAAAAGTGAGGTAGAAATAACCTTTTTGTGGAGTATCAGTCCATCTCTATACCCCATTAGTTGGAGAAACTTAGATTCAGAGTCCATGGTCGTTCGCTAATGATTAGAGGCAGATCTTATGGGCCCTTCAAAAATATTGTCGGAATCCAGGAGGAAATTTGTGCTCTTGAGATAAGACATTTTACTCTTCCCTGAATCCGTGTCGTTAAGACTATTCCTTCAGCCGCAACTTCTAAAACAAAACAAAACAACAGTTGATAAGGGTCATTCTTTCAGCGATTAAATCCCAAGGGCTGGATGATTCAAGATACAAACACTGACCCCAAAGAATAAATTACTATACATAACAGGCTTGACCTTTTTGTTTAATAATTTATAACATATTGTAGCTCTATAAAGTTCTTGGTAGGACTATATGTCTTACGTTGGTGTTTCTAATACAGTTTATAATTGTGTGTTACAGTTAATTTGGATACTAGGAGAATAAATTCCAAAGTCAAAGTTACTGAGAACCTAGATTGGACCGGTTGCTTAATTTAATACTCCTTTTTTTTATTGTAGCTCTATAAAGTTCTTGGTAGGACTATATGTCTTACGTTGGTGTTTCTAATACAGTTTATAATTGTGTGAGTTACAGTTAATTTGGATACTAGGAGAATAAATTCCAAGGTCAAAGTTACTGAGAACCTAGCTTGGACCGGTTGCTTAATTTAATACTCCTTTTTTTTAAACAATAGTATACACTTCTGATTGAAAATTTAGAGAGTAAAGTTCTTGGTAGGACTATATGTCTTACGTTGGTGTTTCTAATACAGTTTATAATTGTGTGAGTTACAGTTAATTTGGATACTAGGAGAATAAATTCCAAGGTCAAAGTTACTGAGAACCTAGCTTGGACCGGTTGCTTAATTTAATACTCCTTTTTTTTAAACAATAGTATACACTTCTGATTGAAAATTTAGAGAGTACAGAATATTTGGAGAGAAGAAAATGAATCACATCTTTGACCCTGTTACTGGGGAAAAGCCATTGATTTTTACAATGAATTTATTACTCTATATATGTGTTTTACAAGATACGCTTTATAGGAAGCATTTCTCCATCTCACTAAATATTTTCTGAGAACATGATTTTTTTTTATGGTGCATATCTGTATGTCATACAAACATAATTTGTTTTAGGTTTTGTCTTTGTTGTTGTTTTGTTTTTTTGCCCTTCCAAAGGGAAGCAACCCCCCCACCATCATTCCTTGGGATTCTGCCACAGAAGTAGAACTATTGGATTTAACATATGAACATTCTAAAGACACTGGATACATTCTGGCTAAGTTGGTCTCCACTTTCTGGAAGCAAATTCCCACAGTTTATACAAAAAGTAAGAAATAATGGTTAGAGGTAAGGGAGGCCCCCACACCAGTTGCATATTTAGCTGGGTAGAAATAATAGCCAGACCCCATGCCTCTTCTCTGGTTAATATTGAAAAAAAAAATTATACTTTTCCTATACTCTCAGTTGTTTTGACTAAGTGACTTTCTCATTTGACAGTCAAAAGTGAAATAGACCTTTACTGTGTTCTGATCAGTTGCCTTACAAAGTGGGTTGCTGGTTAGGAAAGTAGAAAGGAATATGGAAGGGGATTTTGAAAAACCTAAGAGCTAGGTGTGATGGTGCATGCTATAATCTCAGCACTCAGGAGGCTGATACAGGAGGATTGCTGTGAGTTCCAGGTCAGCCTGGGCTACATAGTGAGTTTAAGACTAGCTTGAACTACATAGTAATTCCCTGTTTCAAATAACAAAACAAGGGGGCCAGGGATTTAGCTCAGTGGTTCTGCCACCTGCCGTCCAAGTGCAAGGTCCCAAATTCAATCCCTGGTACAAAAAAAACAAGCAAACGAACAAAACAAAACACAACGGTTGTATTTAGCTCCGCAGGCACTGCACCTGCCTTGCAAGTGCAAGGTCCTGAGTTTGATTCCTGGTACTGAAAAAAACAAAACAAAACCCCAAACAGATGTTCCAGGTCAGCCTGGGCTACATAGTGAGTTTAAGACTAGCTTGAACTACATAGTAATTCCCTTTTTCAAATAACAAAACAAGGGGGCCAGGGATTTAGCTCAGTGGTTCTGCCACCTGCCATCCAAGTGCAAGGTCCCAAATTCAATCCCTGGTACAAAAAACAAGCAAACGAACAAAACAAAACACAATGGTTGTATTTAGCTCCACAGGCACTGCACCTGCCTTGCAAGTGCAAGGTCCTGAGTTTAATTCCTGGTACTGAAAAAAACAAAACAAAACCCCAAACAGAAAACAAACAAACAAACCTAGGAAAATAGTTACTCCAGCTTTGTGTCTGTGCTACTGAAAATCATATCCAATCAATGCCTTCCTTGTGAGTTGTATTCTAATATTCAGGAATAGAATATAGCAGTTACTTTTTTAATACCTTATCAAAGCAAGTGGTAAGCTTACTGTTAAGTAGAAATGGCCGGTGATTACTGTGTTTGAGCTGGTTGTTTCTTAAAGTTAATTAGCTTTACTACTAGAGCACCTTATTTTTTGATGAAATACCTTTTTTGGGCCAGGGATTTAGCTCAGTGGTTCTGCCGCCTGCCTTGCAAGCACAAGGACCCAAGTTCAATCCCCGGTACCAAAAAACAAAACAAAACAAAAAAACACAAATTGGACTTGAAATCCTTTTTTTTTTTTTTTTTTTTTTTTTTTTTTTTTGAGACAGGGTCTCACTGTGTAGTTCAGGCTGGCTTTGAACACACTGTGTAGGTTAAGCTGACTTTGAACTCACAGTGATCCTTCCACCTCAGCCTCCTGAGTACTGGGATTACAGCTGTGCATCACAATGCCTAGCTCCATTTCTGGAAAAATCAGTCAGACCTCAGTATTCTGGTTGGACCTCTTAAATTTTGGTGGTTTTTGTTTTTGGGGGGCTGGGCTTTTTTTTTAATGTTATTGTGGAAGGTAAAGGTTACTGAAGTAGAGTTGTATAATGGACTCCTTTATATCACTCAGCTTTAATTATCAGTGTTCTGCCATTTCTGTTTCATCACTGCCCTTCACACCACTAGCTATGTTTTAAATCATGAATATAACTGTACATTCATTGCTGCTCTGATAAAAACAGACGTAGTTCATAGTCTGGAAACTTCTTTTCCTCTTGCCAGTCCCTCTGCCTGTGGGGTGATATCACTATTGCTATCTTTTTGTTGTTGTTGGTTACCAGGATCAAACTCAGGACCTCGCACTTGTGAGGCAGGTGGCAGCACCACTGAGCTCTTAAGGCCCAGGCCCATATCACTGTCTTTTTAATGACTTCGCCCTGAACATATCAATTGTTCACTTTTCTCATTCCTCATATCAGATTATTCACTAATTTTCATTGGTTCTTAATTTTAAATATCACTGATATCTCTTTTCTGGTGTCCATTTCTACCATCATCTAGCTCTTTATAACCTAATAATTTGTACACAGTAAGTACTGGTAATTAGTTGCAGAATTTAATAATCTGAGAAATCTCCTAGCCCCCTGATGCTACCTTCTTATTTTCTATTTTCTTATTTTACTATTTTTATAAATAAAGTTAGCCAGCATGGAAGAACATGATCTTAGCACTTGGAAGGCTGAGGCAGGAGGGTCACTGTGAGTTCAAGGCCAGCCTGCACTACAAAGTGAGACCCTGTCTCAAAAAAAAAAAAAAAAATTCAGATTAATTTTCCTAAATAGTAATTTAAGTACCTGTGTGCTTGACATCCTGATGACATTGCCCATGATTTCTAGGCCAGTGTTCCCCAAACTTTGCTATAGATTGGAATAATCCCCATGTCTGGGTCAAACCTCATACTAATTTAGTAAGA